ACCATGATACAATAAAGGTAGGCCCTACATGTCATAGGCCTAATTATACATAAATTCCAAACGCTGTAACAGTGTAAGCCATATTAATATGAAATGATGATGAAGGAAAACATTCTGATTCTATTATTAATTTTTTAATAAATAATTAACATATCTGTTCACTTATTGTGTTATTTTAGTTACTTCTTAATGCATCCGTGCATCCACTTTATTAATACAGTAGGCCTATGTGTATAAAGCTCAAGTTACGAAACTACAAATATTCTTTCAAAGTAAATAGTATATCGCCCTCTATTGGCCTATATATGTGTATTCGACTGGTTGTTGTTGTCTGCTTACGTTCACCATCTGAAACGTCCACATGTGGGTTGATTGCTACACGTTATTATTAGGGGAAATTGTACCTTACGACAAGCGATATTGTGATAAAACCGGTTGGTAGTGATACTTTCATTTCTTTTATATATATTAAATATATTATTTATTATATATATTTAAGTGTTTTGTTTTTTTGTTTCATTAAAGTCGCAAATCCCTTACTTGAGCCGGCGTCGCCACCTTAGCAGTGCACGGTAGTAGAGCCGAGGCTTATCCAAGGTGGAAGCTACCGGAGCCCAGCATACTGTCGCCGGAGTACCTGCGTGTACGCGGTAGTGGTGGTGACGCCGTCTCAACAACAGGAGTGTGCATTTTTCATGTTGCTGCTTGGTTTTTTCCATTCTTTGGTCTGCCTGTTTTTGAAGGCTTAATTTATCAATTATTTATTTATTTAATTATATATTTTCTATTTGTTATTTATTTACTTTATTCATTTATTTATATTTATTTAACTTATTATAAATAAAATATAAAATATTCTGATTAATATAGGCTCTTTAATATAAGATATAATATAATTTAATTTCTTTTAAATTCTTGGTCCTACCTTTTTTCGGCGCCTTGAGACGATTTTATTGTGGAAGGCGCACTACAAATATCCCACCATTACCATTACCATTTTCTTGTAGGATAGAGCTTATTGACAGCGAGTATCATAGACATAAGCTTAGCCTTATACAGTAGTTAAATAATATCCTGGGCTACTATATTGGCTGGCTAAGCCCTGAATTGGGCCTTGGATAGACCTGTACTGTAGCACGGACCTTATGCCTAGCACTAGGCGAGTCCAGCTTAGTACAGTACTTGCCTAGGTCTACCTAGAGAAAGAACTAGTCTAGGCGCGGAGACCAAGGTTAGTGAGTAGGCCTTACTACTACTTTAAGTAGGATTTTTCTGTTGCCTTCCCGTCCTGGCTAGCCTTGGTAATTTTAATTTGATTTTTTTGTTTAGAATTCCATTAAAGCAAAGCATGGTGAAGAAAGGGATGATGAATGAAGAGATAAAACAAAAAACAATATCAACTGCTACAGAGTGCCAAACATTGTACAAGAAACAGTCAGTAAAGGAACCAAAAGGAAGGCCTAAGTCTGGTAGGCTTTGGAAAACAGAGCAAACAAAAAGGTACTATTTTTTGTTACCTGATTTTATAGCACATCCCCATTTGCCTCAATTCCCAAAAGTCGGCCACACTCATCTTGGCAGCACCTTGCTTGGTTGGAGAGACATACCAGCTGTCAAAAACAAGTTTTTTTTACTGTAGAAATCATGACTACTGATGTAAGAAAATATATACTTGTTTTAATTTTCAAAACCACAGATATAAAATAAAATATTTCTCTTCACTTTAAAAAAAATAGATTTTCTGGTTTGAAAAATGATAAACCTTTAAGAAGTTCTTGGAAAAGGAAAATGACGGAAAAAGCTGAAAAACAATCGATAAAGAAATATGAGCAGGAATTGAAACAAGCGAAGATAGATGCCATAGAGGTAAAAAATAAATTTAAAACATTCTTAGATGATTGATGTTATTATTTATATCTAACAATGGATATTGTATAATAAATTTCTTAATCTTATTTTTTTCTTTCAGTTAAAGAAACGACGACGGGAGGAGAATTTAAAGCGTAAATTAGAAAATGAACGTAAACACGAAGTTGTTCAAGTGGTAAGTGGTCTCATTAAAAAGTTTTCTGATTTAAAGATTAATAGTATAGTCGTTGGCTGAGTCGTGATACTCTGAAAAATTTAATTTTAGTTTCTATCTGGCTTACAACTGAAAGTTGCAAATAAATAATTAATATATTGTAATTCACTGTTCAATTTTTATACATTATAGGTGCTAAATATTATTGAGGCAAGTGAACAAAAATTTATAAAAACAAAATATTTAATGAAGTAAAAAAATACACAAAGCAACATAAACAACTATTACAGAGTTTGCAATTTGCGGCCGACAAAGGCAATGGAAATAACAGATTCTAGAACAACAAAACAGCGGAAATGTGTTTAGTAGAGTACTATAAGATTCAATTGAAAATGTTGTTAATTATTTCATATTTATATTTCTTCTAAGATTACAAATACAGCAAAGATGAAAAGAATGAAGAAGAAACATCTAAGGCAAGTGGAGAAAAGATGAGGGAATGAATGGAGAAAATAATGAAAAATATACCAGAAAATTAAGCTATAAATGGTCAAAGGTCAAATAATTTACCAATTAGAACAGGGCCAGAAATACTTGTTCTACGTGTTGTCCCACCAATGCACTAGTTTAGGAGCAGGGCGCAATTGGGCCAAATCTACGTACACAGAAAACGTAGGACGCCCGTTAGGATGGTCATGCATGAGTGATTCTGTTCTAGCATCACGTTGTCGAACATTTAGAAATTAACAACAGACCATTACTATAGTGACTATAAAAAACTTGGGTGGTCATGTTTTATCCATATTAATGGGAGATAATAAATTAAGAAGGAATGTATGGATCATGGTTAGATATGCACAGTACCATCTATATTTACTGTTTATATTATGAACATGTGCAGGCAGGAGTGCCCATCTCTATTTAGCGTTTGGGCCTAACTGTGCAGTGCTTTGAGGGGATTGCCACTCCTTCTTTACAGCAAGTCTGTTTACCTTCCCAGCATGTGCTGATACCCATCTGTCTTGCCCCAGAGCACAAGCAACTTGCACAGCGAGGGGCTCAAATTCCTGACCACCAGGTTGAGTGTCCGAGCCTCAACTGCTTTGACAGTAAATAGTATATTGGAGAGAAATTGTTTTAATGCATGAGCAACTGTCTTCAATTTCAATTGTGAGTTGGTCTCCAAACATTAAATAAAAAAATAATCAAAACTGACAACATATTGAAAATGTTTGTATTTTTTAATCAGGTGTTTTGATGAAAATACATCTTTACATATATGCAACAGGCTTTTGTATGATATTACATCTAAAAAAATAAAAACATGATAAAATACTACCTTGATCCAGGACCAAGAGAAATAAAATTTTCTAAGCACAATCATTAGAAGCAGAAAAATAAACACAGTGCTCAAGAAATTGATGATTATTAAGAACTTTAAAAAAGACTGTTAGAACCATACATGTGGAAGAACTTTGCAACAAAATCAATATCTTGTACAAACAAAAAACATGGAACACAAACATGGTTAACTTCTAGATGAAACTGAATTACACTTGTATAAGTGCACATACACAAATTAGAAAGCCCCAATTAGAAAGGCAACACCACTACCTCAACAAGCAACAATAAAGCTGTGATGAGAATGAATATAAAAAAAATACTGTACTGTGACATTTCATACTGATATGAACATATAGACAGACATAGCAAAGCTTTTGAGTAAGGACATTCAGCACGCTTGGTAAACATAATATTTGTGTTTAAACAAATTTTCTAAGAAAGTTAGCAAATCTGACATTTTTCACCATGACTAAGAGCAGTTGGGGTCACTAAATTTAACTCACAATCTTCCTTAACTTAACATCAAAAAGCAATCTACTTTAGAAAATGTTCCATTACTGGATCCTTTTTAGATTCTGTCTTAGCAAGCTAAATGAATACTGTAAGCTGATTTGACATTTGCAATGGTTAACCAATAACAACAACAAAATGGATCTGTGCAATGTCAGATTTTCTTGGCTAGATGCACCATGCAAGAAGACTGGTTGTCATTTTCAACCCATCATTGGAGATTAAATCAATCAATCTTAATTTAACTTGTACATTAGTGACTCAATTACAATTTCAAATTAAGTTACCAGACATTATTTAACTACAGTATGACATTATTTGAATTATTCAATGCAATTACATTCTTTTGACACCATGCAATTGCTCAATATAGAGGTATTAGAGTTAACATATACAAATTCTTTCAAATACCATCATCAAAGAGTAACCACAACATAATTTAACACATTCAAAGTCACTATTACTAATAACTTTTCACAATCTTTAAAAAAATATTATACAATTTCAACATAAAATAACTGTAGTGTAATACTATATATCGCACTAATAATTACCAACCAACAAAATATGAAAGTTAAAAAGGTCAATATGCACTGAAGATTGCATTACACAACTTGATTAAGAAAATAACAGCTCAACAATAATGTTTACTTGTACCATTAGAAGAATTATGTATAATTTATCAAAGAATTAAAAGAATTTCATTATTGACCTATACTCTGCTACAGAAATTGAATACCTTTGACAAGATTTTAATTCCGAAGAAATCTAAAATTACGGTTGAAACATTTTCGTAATCCATCTGTAATACAGCCTCTTAAGAAATCTAAAGTGAATTTCTGACATTGATTATTTAAAAATGATTGGCATTGGTTTCTCCCATTATCAAAATAATGTAGGATTGATCAATATAAATGGGTTATTTAACATTGGCACTGGTTTCCTTAGCCCTTTTCATCTTTTACCACCAGTTGATTTCTTGTGACCAGATTTCATGTGAACAACCATTCTATAGGCACACTGATCACATATTAACTTGAATGTCAATTTATATTTTATACTGGTGAGAGGGTTGACATTTACTGGAATATTCACATCTTCCTATTCTGTATTTATAAAACTTCTTTTCATAATCCACCAGAAAGGCAGCCTGCACATTTAATATTTCAAATAGTTCTCGCAAATATATATTTAAAAATTCTGTTGCGAAAACTACCTAAAACGTATTTCTTCCTGACTACTTTTAGTAATTAAGTCGCATCTTTTCTGCCATATTCCATCATGCACAATGTACACTTAAGTCCACTGCTGGAAATCTCGAGTGTTTCTGTCCAATCCAGCAACATCATTCTAGCTTAAAGCAATTGGTCCTGTTATCTGAATAAACGGGCAAAGTCTCTTAGTGCATAGATTATTTCTTTCTGATTCTCCGACCTGAAAAGTAATACACAGTATTTTACAATATTTATTTATAATCCAATGGGAAGCAAATTTCAATTTATTAACTAATATACAGAGCTAGCTCCAGTATATGTACATTCAGTGGCGTTAGGCTGTTTGAAAGTGATCTGCTGGGTCAATGTGCAGTGCCTTGGTAGGGAACCAATTCCCTGTTGCCTAGAGCAACTGAAAGATTTTGGTTCATTTTAAAGACACCTGAGGCAATTAAATTAGGTAGTATCAAACCATTCGTTCGTTTGTATGAATCACAGGAGCTACACATTCACCTGAAGAAGTGCACTGTGTGCACGAAAGCTTGTGCACTGTCACAAATAAACTAGTCATAAAAGTACTGGATATCCTTGCGCTACACAGTTGGGGGTTTTTTTTTTTGAGTGTAGCTTCCTTCTTAGTGAATAATCACATATAATCCATTCTAGTTGCTGTTATTAATTGACTGGAACAATCGTAGCAGGGTCACCGATGAGCAGGTTAACCGCATGACCCCCATTTATACTTCTGAATGAAGAGGCAAACGTAAGTAAAGTGTCTTGCCCAAGGGCACAAGCAATGCGACAAGCGTCTGTCTTGAACGCCTGATCTAACGATCAGAAGTCCAACACTGTACACGCTGCCCCTCATGCTCGCACATCAAACCATTAACAGATATGAAGAGGTATAACATTTGTCCTATTTGTATGCTGACCACCTACCCCCATCCACCCACCTCCCTTGATGTAGAGGGCAGGTTCATTTAACATCTACTCTAATGCAAACACAGTGTGTTACAGCCTGGATGATGTTTGCGGAATTGTGAACAAAAAACATCGACAACAACAGTTTTGATAGGTTTACCATTAACAGATTTATGGATTTACATTATTATTATAACCTAACATATTACATCATCAACAGAATGATTACTGAACAGTGATAGCAAATTCCTAATTGTTTAATTGAGTACATACTTTGTGACAGCTTTATGGAAGTCTGTCAGCTGCTTCTGTGTAGCATTCACAGTTCCAACACTGTTTTGAGTTGGTAATGATTTCAATGTGGTCTCAAGCCAGGTACAAACAGCCTATGGATAAAAAATACATCAAAACATGTGGAGTGTAAGTTCACTTATTCAGTATGGGAAGGAAGGATATTAAAGTATTTTTTCTAATATTGCCAAAACAGAATATAGATAAGTGGGAAGTGCTAGCTATAGCAGCAATGGCATAACAAAATTGATACATTCTGTATTTGTATTCTGTTTTTCCTATCACAATACATGGAATTTGTATTAGTATGTATTTAAATTTTTAAATGGAGTAGCACAACGGGGGCAGGGAGGGGGAAATGAATTCGTCCCTGTGAATAACAGCCATGTTTTCAGAAGATGCTAATGAAAAATTATGGTGGTGAACATGTCTAATTATCTGAAGTATTTGCATCTGTTTCATTCCATATATAAATAAAGTAAGACTAAAAAACCAAAACAAATCACAGTGTGGTAATACCAATGATTTCACTGTGAGGTGAAGGAAATATATATTCTGTTAATTATGCAAATTGAAATTATATTTCTCGTTGTGATGACTGTCCTTCGAGATGTACGACAAAATAATAAAACTTACTGCTCGGTCTAACTTCATCAGGAGGAAGAGGACATCTCCTTGATCAGGTACCATGAAGGATGGTAAGTGAAAGACACAGGCTGTGATGATTCCCTTTGTGATTTCCTCTCCGTGAGAAAACAACAATGGTTTCACAAGCGTAACACGTGTCTCAAAATCATCTTTATCCTGTAAAAACAAATGAAGTTTGATATAGACAGGCGTGGATTTTTTTTTCCCGTGTGGGGAATGTTATTTTCCCCTCCCATTTGAAAAGTAAAAAAAAAAGAAAGAAAGAAAAAGAAAAAATTGATCGCCCAAAACGCCGTGGTTATTTTTAAGTGTCTTGATAACAAAAATTTTGCGGGGAATGTCCCCCAAGCCTCACCCCCCGGGCCCCTAAATTGGTGTTATCTCGATCGGCCCCAATTCCAGGGGGGCCCCCCACTTTCAGACATCTCTGGATCCACCCCTGATAGATACAGCTTGGATTGAATTTATTTGGTGTAATAACCCACAAAATTTGAAGACAAGTTTTAAGTGTGGTCCTTCTGGTGGTGATTGGACAGTACACCAAAGTTAATACCTTACTGGATTTCGGTGTAAACACCAAGAATAGCCCACACAAGTCTAGAAGAAGACTTACTTCCAGTGGGATCCTTCTGGTGGTGATTGGGCAGTACACCGGGAGACAATCCCCTACTCTTTTCCGAAGAGTGTACTGCGTTCTTTAACGTGCACATGGGCCATAATGCACATGGGACCAACAGCTTAAAATTCTCACCCGAAAGACAAGTGCGCTAATTGTAACTTGTATTTCAGCCCTCTAGCTGAAACACAAGGAGAGGCAGCGATGGGAATTGAACCGGGGACCTAGAGATCTCCACGGTTTAGCGCACACACAGTGGCTACCACCAGATTAGCCGACTGAGCTAAGCTGCATACCTTAGTGTACAGTGTACATTCTTTAACGCACACATGGGCCATATTGCACACAGGACTAATGGCTTATACATCTCATCCAATAGACGGTGTGCTATGTATGTTAGTACCTGTTTCTCTGTTGCACAGTGAATAAGATCACGGAAGAACTTCATGACAGATGCGTTAGCTTCCCGGTGAGCTAAGGTGATGGCGAAGATTGCACATTCTAAGACTGACTGCATCACGGATGAACCAAGGATTGCAAGTGGGTTTCGTTGAACGAATCTAAAATTAATCAAACGCCATATAATCAAAGCATGATAATGAAAATGCTTCACAACATAAAATATCATTACAGAATAAGAACACCACAATTTCATCACTGTTACTATTATCATTATTTAGGTTTAAAAATAAAATTGACCTTGCACACAGTCTGAAAAGGTCATCGACTGTGTCTGGATGATCTCGCAGACCATTCTCACCCTGTAGCAGTTGGAACGCTGGCACAATGAATGCCTGTGAGATAGAAGAGTTATATTTATTACAAATTTACAAATTACAAAGGAAATCATATTAAACTATACTGCTATTATTTATATACTAATACAGTATATATCTTTGAACTAAGTAATTTATAGTGAATTTATTATGAATCTAAAACAGAAAATATATACAATTTGGGTTTCTGATAGCTTTAAAAAATGATTAGTTATACACAGCAAAAAACTGAGAGTTAAATACCAGCCTGAAATACAACATGATACTGAAGGAGATTATTTTCATTTATATTTATCTAAACATTATCGTTTAAACTGAAATTATTCATTGAAGCTTTTGCAAACACAAAAACAATTTTTTTAAAGTTATGCATAATGCATTTTGACTGGTTAATCTCAACATAATTGGTAACTAAATTTGTGAGATCATGCAAATTTGTATCCGGAAGATTGAATAATGATGGCCACTTTCTTCCAAGTTTGCCTCGCACATATTATAATAATTGTTTAAGTAGTACTGAAGTTTAAGCAAAATTGATTGATATGTTCCTGCAAGTTGTGCTAGTCTTTCAGAAATCAACATGGTCTCTCGCACTTTTGCAAGCAAGCAACATCTTCCAAAAATTAGCATATCTCATGAAAATTTCAAATGTTGCTTGTTTTTACTACAGGATACAGTATTAATTTCTTATCTGAAGCTAGCTGGCTGGCATCAGATAAAGCAAAATACAGTAGGATGTGTTGGAAATCTCATTAAACCTGATGTCCTAAGAGTAACTTCTTCCAACTGTGGTTCCCTCAATTACTTTGATACACACTCAATATTCTTACCTGTAACATCTCTAAAAGACCAGCTATACATCCTTCATCTTTCCCATACTCATCTACTAAAATACTTCCCAGGTACAAGAAGCATGAGTGCTGATGTACTCGGTAAATATTCACCATCTACAAAAGACAAAATAGAAAAAAAATTTCTTGGCTCAAATACTATGTGTTTGATGCAAGACCAGCTGAATAGGTCATGGGATAGTCAGTATTACCATCAACATCTGCATCATCATCATGATCTACATAACCCTATTGACAATGAACATTATCATCTGCATCATCTATACCATCATTATCACTCAATCATGGTATCTGAATCATCATCTATCATGGAATATTATCACTATCAACATTATCATAATCATCATTACTGTATAATTACAATCGTCACAATCATCATCTTCACCATTATCTACATCACTGTTACAACGTATGTAAGTCAACATCACTACAGCACCACCATCAACATCATCTTCAACCATCAGAGAGAACAACCATCAATACAAACATCACCCCATCATCACCACCACGAACCATTATCACTTTCACTATATACATCATACTCATTATCATTCTCAACCTCATCACCACCCTCCTTATAATCCGTATCATCCTCATCATCAACCTCAATGTCACCATTATATCATAAACAACAAACATCACTCAAAAATATTCATATACAAAAACAAACTAAAAAATAATCACATTTAAAACAAAATATGAAATAATAACTTAGAAGCTGTAACATACTTGTGTAACTAATGGATTTAGAAGCACCACTGAGCCCATACCGACGCATCGGATGGCGAAACGCAAGCACCGGCAACATCTCTCAATGATTTTAACATCTGCTTGGTATCGTTCACAGGCACTGGACAGTATTGGCCAGATGTCCTGAATGAGGGGCTGGCACGGATGAGCTTCACCATTCATAACTAATGGATTTGTGTGCCTAAGAGAAAAAAATATTTAATAATATATCACTCTCTACATTCTATTGCATCCAAACAAAGAGAAAGACATTCCTATATTCATATTACCTTCGCCAAGAAGGTTTTTATTCAATCTGTCTTAGAATGAGTATGCAAAAACTAATGAATGTATTATTATAAAGTTGGAGTATACATAATTTAACATGGAAATAAGGTTTCCCTACCTGAAGATTTCAGCTAATCTGTCAAGCCATATTGTTGGATCTCCCTTGGCACCGGACTTGACAACTTCACCAGACTTTAAAGACTATAAAATAAAGTGGTAATAAAGTAAAATCAATAACTGTTTATATACATATTTACTACATAGGGGCATCCATGCCAATTGAATTTAGAGAGTAAAATAATATACTCTTGGTAAAAAAAAACCAAGATACTGCTTTTAACTATCAAGCAGCTAGCCAGATAGGAGATAGACAATACCTCAATCTTCTACCTGTACTGGTGATAATATACATTTGTGTAGATAGCAAGGTGTACACAATGTATTGCTTACCTGACTTAGAGGTGTGATTTGTACATAAACTAACTGCTTGAGCCCTTCACATATCTTATCTAGAGGCATCTTGGAGAGGACCATTGCAGAACCTATAAGTATAATATTTCACCCATTTATCTATTTATTTATTACCACACCAACAGTGATAAATTGCTACTATCTATCTTTCAATAAGTACAGGCCTCCCTGATGTGTGGATCATTGTACTTGTAGAGGCGTGGACTAGCTAGAACAATAACTTTCTTCTCCCCTAAGGGTCCCTTCGTGTCTGAGCTACCCGGGGAACTGGTACCAGCTACTCTCATCTGTCCATAACAGGGGATGTATGGACCAGTACACTGGGGTAACCCCCTACTTGTCTCGAAAGATGTACTGGGTTCTTAATAGTGCACATGAGCCAATTATACACTGGGTCTACGGTTTATAGTCCTTATCCAAGAAGACTTGTTCCACCTCCAGAACCATAGGCGAGCGTGCTGTAACCGCTCGGCCATTCACCCCTTCAAGGATGGTTAAAATATAACAATACAAAATATATGTAGGATTAAAAAAACCTACATATATTATTGCATGGAAATGTTACTTAAAATAAGATTTTTAAACATACCAAAGCTATTATCAAAAATATCAAGCTATTATAAAAAATATCAAAGGCATTTAAAGGCATCTTAATGAAACAGATATAGTCAACACTGTAGTAAATTAAAATCTAATCAATGTTGAATGAAAATAAACAAAAATACAAGTACCTCTTAGTAATCCAACACCTGCTTCATGTGATAAATTGAAAGAGTCCATTGCTTGGACAATTTGTAGAAGACCATCAAAGTGTTTTCTCATTGGATCTTGACAAGTTGAGCATAGATTCATTAAAGACGTAGCAGCAACTGATGCTAGGCTATCGATGCGTAGATTGTCCGTTAAAAAGCTGAGAATTGGTTCTAGTAACGAAAAATTAATAATTTTAATTAATGTTCATTCACCCAATAGTGTAAATGCAAATAAAAAGATAAATTAAACAACACAAGTATACATACACAAGATGCTTTCTATAAGTTGCATTATGAAGGTTAGCTAGTAAGGTCGTTTTTGATGTAGTAATGTTATATTGTTGTTATATATTATGTACTTCGTTAAACAGGGTGTATATTATCATGAACTTAGGTAGTCAAGATGTTTTATTATTATGCACTGCGGTAGACAGGGTTTTTCATCATAATGTACAGTACCTAGGTAATGAAGTTGTATATTATCATGAGCTTAGGTAGTCACAGTGTTATATTATTATGCACTTAGGTAGACAGGGTGAGTCACCATTATGCACAGTACCTAGGTAGTCAGGATGTTTTTCAATCCATTCTGCAAGTTGTCCCAACATCCTGGTACTAGTGTATTTGACAGCAACATGTGTTGAGGGTGGAAGATTGATTATTGCTTGTAATACATGTGGTACAACTCCATTCTCTTCCCTAAAAAATAGAACATTTTCCTTAGGTAATATGTTGACACATCACTCATGAACAGGGGTGGGCATAAAAACCGGTCGAAGGGCCAATGTGAATTTTTTGATTCAACACCGAGGGGCACACCAAAACCTCCAAGAACTGGTTTTACACCAATTTATTCTCAGTTTTATTTTACTTTTTACATATGATAGGTGTCGGGCCATAAAAAAACAATGTGTTTTCAGGCCAATGTTGCTTGGTGGGCCGCACAAATAGGGTTTTTAATTCATTTTCACAGGCCGCAAATGAATCGCTGGCGGGCCACATGTGGCCTGCGGGCCGCACTTTGCCCACCTGTGCTTATGAACAATGTTGGGAGGCCTGAAGTGAACATTTTCATTACCAGTGAGGGCCGCAGCTGGAATTTTTTTTTGCAAAAACCTTCTTTCACTGCTTTCATACAACTTTATGCTCAGTTTTTATATTACGTTTCTACTAATAATCGGCAAGATTGTAGACAGGCTGCACATATGGGGCATATGACCTGCTGACTGCATTTTACTGACATATGCCTTAGAATAAGGGATCAGTTCAATAGTTGTACTCACGGAAGAATATTTTTTGCAACAGCAGTCATTGTGAAGAGAGCTGCTTCTGTGATTTCCCATGATGCACCTCCTTGATGACTGGCAAGGTTGTTGAACATCTGAGGGTTAGTAAGCAATTGAAAATTGTAATAAGGACAAGCACCCATTACCTAGCTTGTTTTTTGTTTACAGGTGCTATCTGTGATTTTAGGCAAAAACACCTGGTTACTTTTCATTTTTATCTTTAGCCCATCCCATCATTCCTCCACTGCATTTACTCATAAAAGGTCAATTGCCAGACAATAACAAAGTGTATACCCCCAACCCAACCGCATCCCTGGATCTCTGAGATGTTCATCTATTATTTTATTATATATTTACAATAATTATTCCAATTGCCAATTATTTTAAATAAAATAACGGCAAATATTATTCAAATACAAAATAAAATGTTAGCTGCATTAACATGGGACTTCAAAACCTGTTGAACCAATGAGGTGAATGACTTCATACTACAGATAGAATCTACCAATCGACAGCAGATTAAACATAGAAATCGCCAATCAATAACCATATTAAAAATATATAACTCACTTGTTCAAAGCATGTTGTTGACCCGACCAGGTAAACCACATCTTTTACTAAGTCAGATACTCGCATACGAAAATCACCAAATTCATCATGCTCATCCGGAATTCCTTCCTAAAATAAATGAATAATGAGTTAAATAACTTGTTTCTTTTTCGAGATATAAAACTGAGTTAATAGCTAATTGCTGAATTTGATCATTTAAACTTAAAAAAGTAAAGTAAATACATGCCGAGCCACAGGGCTTATTGGGCTGGAGCTTATTCCCAGTTTCAAGTAGCGTGAAGTGGATGAGAGTGTGATGCTCCCCCTGGGTGGGACGCTGGTCCACCGCAGGTTACTGCGAGCAATTCGCTGGTACCCATTTACAGCTGGGTAGACAGAAGCAATGTAGATAAAGTGCCTTGCTTAAGGACACAGCGAAGTATTGAAACCCTGATCTTGAGGTTAGGAGACCAAACCATTTAGTGATGTGATGAAATGATGATGAAAAATGAGGGTATAGCATTATTCAATGAAAATTCTTTGCAATTCAGCAAGATATTCTGAGAAGGCCGAATTCACTTATTGTACATTAGATGCAAATACATATCATCTAGAAATATTATTATTATGACCTTGTACAAAAGATCATCACATCAAGCATGCAGATGAAACATATCCATTGGATCAAGATCTAAAAGTAGATAGGATTAGGATGTCACATATAATTAAGAGAGAGAATTAAACTTCTTTCTGCCAAATGAAATAGAATGAAATGCATATGATAAAATGTGAATATCTCTGATCAAGGTTTTTTTTTTTTTTCTAAATATTTAGTTGTTTTGTTTTATTCTAGTTCTAATCATTTTAATATTATTGTTTTTAATAATTTTAGAAGCATAAATATTGCTTAAAATTCATAACTGTTATGATGCAAAAAATCAGATAAAGTTATGCATAGTGTGTGTATTACCATCTGAGTTAAGGCACTGTTCTGTTAATTTGCTTTTGGCATATTTACTCACATGGTCTGGGTCTAGCTGGCAATGTCCGGCCAGTGCCGTAATTAACCTGTGTATGTACGGCCTGAATACATCGTTTAAAATCTGGCTATCACGTTTGTATAATATCTCTGACATTCTGTACCAGAAATTAAATGTGATCTCGGCTACTTCATATTGGCAGTGCCCTACACAGTCCAAAACAGCTCCTAAAATTCGAAGATCACCTAAATTCTGCAAAATGAAGGGGAAAAAAAATATAAGGACATGATGATGTAATAATATGATACCCATATATGGGCATGATGATGTCATATCAGATCATATGCATCTGAAAATGTGGACAATCTAAGCCTTATAATCAGACATCACTGATAATCTATCCTGTGATGAGTCACTCACTCTTGAATGAGAATAATTCAAATCAAGCATCTAAATAGTTCTCATTAACTTAATCTTTATTGCTAGTAAAAGACGTAGTTGAATAAGCATTGGTTTAATACATAGTCCATCTAGAATATCATTAACATAACATCTGTATTTGTTACTTGAACGTTGTATTTGTGTAGCTTATATTTTATACTTATGTTAGGCCTACTAATATTCTACTGTATATTGTTACTGGCAGTTTTGATTTCTGTTGCTTTATAAACAAATTAAATTAAATTAAAATTACCATTACCATCACCATCAAGTCTACCTTCGGCACCACACTAACAGCACCACCATCTCCACCATCAGCACCACTTTACCATAAATAACCTCCACCATTACCATTACTTTCACCACCTACATTAACCAACAACATTAACCAACAGCACCACTGTCACCAATTCTGTCATCTCCCACATCAGCACCACTATCATTCTATATCACCTTCACCATTACTATCACCTCCACCATCAACACCATTATTATACCCATTACTATTAAATCGAACATTACCATCACTTGCAACATCAAAAAGACCACCACCATTACTTTCATCTCCAATATCAGCACCACTATCATAAAATATCACGTTCACCATTACCATCAACACCACTATCACCATTACAATAACCTCCACTATTACCACCACTTAAACCAGCAACACCAAAACAGCCTTCCACATAATTCCATTTCTCTTCTTGCATTATTTCACACCGATTTTTAATTAAAATCTTATGCTTTATTGAAACTAACATTCAATCTAATACAGCTAACTGTTCCCTTGAGAAATGATTAAGGAAACTCACACTTCGCCCAGTAATGATAAGACAACTCACCCTTCCTGGCGACTCTACCATGACTTCTAAGAAAGCTTCAGCAAGCTCTGTAAATATCCTACTATAGTTTACACATCTGTAGAATAAAAAAAAAAAAAAATTAAACTGAGAATTGGTCGTGAATATGGATAAAATACATTTAAATAGAAAGGATTATATTCTGCATATTTTAGAAATCCATCATTGAAAACTTTAATACAATAAACGAAGCAAAATAAAAAAACAGCCATGGTGACATGCACATAAAATTTGGCACACACACTGTTGGCAGCCAATGCGATTCCTTGCGACAGTCATGCTACTTTGCATGGCGGATTACGGTCAATGATGATGTGCTGACACCAGTCAATAGTATTGCATTAAGTAAGCACTAACATGAATTGGTCAGACAAAGCAGTGTGCACTTTGCTTTTGAACCAATACAATACAATACAATAGTGTATACCTACTGTATGCTTATGGGTAAACTTCATATTGGTGTATAACTTACTTGTCTATGTCTTCTTCTGCTACAGCCATGTGGTATGCCTCATGGAGTTGCATTACACCTTGGTACAGTGCATGTGCTAGCTCTGGATGCTCTTCTATATCCTGAAGAACAAAGTATTGCAAAAGATAAAATATTTACAGCATTTAGTATGTGGTTCCAAAGTAAAACTTTTCCCTAATATTTTGTTCTTATTGAGTCTACACACGAGTTTATACTCTGTTGAGCAATGCTGATTTATTTCTAAACTTAATGATACAATTTGCGTGTATAGTGATGAAGAGATTAGTAGGAACAGGGCCGCAATGTAATGCTTCTTTCTTGGCCCCAATATTTTGTTTATTCCTAACACCTTTGAAGTGATTATCTGAAAAAATCTGACAAAAAAGTTGGAAAACTTAACATAGAAATGCGAATATAAAATATTACATTTTTTGACAGTTCAGTTCAGGTAAAACCTTTTTTTCTCTTGTTTGGTAGCCAACTTAAAAACTCATTAATATTCATGAGTTCATTTTCTCTATGTTATGTTATATTTTCTAATGTTATTTAAATGTGTTTTTATTATTATTTTTTTATTCTTTTAGCTGTACAGTATTTTCAGCTTCTGCTGCTCATTGTATATTTTGATGTGTATATATACACCAAAACAAAAAATAAATAAATAAATGTTAATAGATTAGCAGAATTAACAAAAAAGTCCCTGATTAACTTCCTACTGTAGGCTATGATATTAAATAATATAATTTAAAATTGATAAAATATTGATACAAAATTCAAACGATTCTAATTACCCAAATTATGAAATGTAATTTTTCAATATCATATAAAAATTTCATATATTTAATAACATATTTATATTTAAAAAAAAACCCTAGATAGATTGATATTAGCACAGAAAAAAAAAAAAAAACCAACAATCAGCTCATTAAAATAATTATACATTAATCTTGTTAATGTTATCTTTGACAAATTGTTTGTGAAAATATTGAGTAATTTTCACAAGGACACACGGACAAATTGTTTGACGTGTGGTGTATTGTGTTTAAATACGCAATTCCTCAGCTGCAAGGTTTACAACATATTTATGACGCTATGATGATTCTAGAGAATTTGTTTGAAGTTGCCGCCCTCAGCTGATTAAATGTTTTTCAGCAGAGGAACTAATCAATCAGATATAATTGGTAATTAGCAATCAATTAATGGTAGACACATTATTAAGAAGTTCTGTGACGGCAATATCATTTTATGATTTTAAGTGGAAGAGAAGTAATTTTACACATTAACTATCCATTAAGGAAATCTGTGTTTAAATAATTGTTGCAGTAAAAGGTTTTTGTAGATATTCAGTACACATGCTACCAATATCTTGTCATTCAAAAATTAAACTGTAAATTTTGTAGTTTTATTGCTTTGTTGATATATTGCCTTGCGGTAAAATTGGGGAGAACCCCTTAAAAATTTTTGATACAAAACAAAAAATGTGACTGCAAGATCTGTCTGCTGCTACCAAAGAGAGATGAAATGTCAATAATTCTTGTTTTATAAATTACTCACTTAAAATTACCAAATAAGTTATCACATTGTAATACGGCATACATTATTATAATTTTGTTTCTGATTATAAAATCCTTAAATGTAATAGTCTATTGTATGCAAATAATATAGATATTACTTATGCACTAATTGATAAGTTAAATAAATGTATACATTTAGTAAATTCAAATTTTATATTGATTTGATGATAGAATGGACTCTGAGGTGAATATATTGAAATCTCAGAAAAAAAAATTGTTTCCTCTTGAATATAAAAATCCACTCGTATCAAGGGCTGACGGGAATTGTCCAGGCAATAACAGCTCCTTTTGGAGCAAATTCTGGGAAAAGCATTCTTACAGTGGAAAGATTTAATGTTATATTCGTAAGAACATTAATCCTAGGATTCTAAGACTGCTGCATGTACAGTAGTAAGCAAAGGCTCCAGGAAGTGACTACAAGGCATTCCAATATACAACGGGAGGCTACTGTGCTCTCTCCACCTACAGTGTCTGTAGAGAAACTGCATGTTTTCATGTAGTAAAGGGTGCACAACAGTTTCGGAATAATTGAATAAATGAATAGCACATATATTGCATTGAAATTTTTAAAAAATTAGTGGAAAAATGGGGCAGGAGCCCTTCCCAGTGACCTTCCCTTCCCACTTCCCTACTGGATCTTCCTCTGTTGCTTTGGGCTACCCTCTTGTAAGTGAAAGTACTGAAATATACAGTAGGCCTAGCATAGTAGGGCATGAGAAAAGTGTTTGTCTTGAATCAAGATGGATGCATGTAAGGCTTATCCAAACTAACATTCAAAAGAACCCGTACACATTGTCCCGATGTGCATAAATTCAAGGTATTGATTGGTGGAGCTGCCTTGACCCTATCTATCTTAATGCACTATCCAAATTGACCCGGATTCGAGAGATAGATGATAGGCCCTAGGTGTGCTAACTACACCTGAGCCTAGGCCCCTATGTTTAGGCCTATCTGTAATTGACATCATAGGCTAGGGTAGGCCGTGCCTAGGCTAGAGCCTGGGTCTGGGCCAGAGCCTAGGGCTGTGACTATAGGCCCGTGTAGGGCTAGCTGGTATGGTTATGCCAAGGTTATATCATGGCTTGTGCCCATGTGTATCTTTATTTTTACTTGCCAACATGCCATTTATTGCTGATGTTTTGTACCATAAAACTACAATATATCCAGTATAATGCAATGGGTACTCCAAAGAGGTAAGGGAACATGCTTGTCACCCATTTTGTTGACGAACGTGAGAAGTGCTGGGCGGTGACGTAATGAAGCTGCGAAACATGGCTCTTTTACGGCCTAACTCGATAATTTTTAGACCGAAGCATTGCAGTACAGAATAGATGTGATTAATTGTATTTACGCGACGTAAGCAACTTGCGAAACATGGTAAACAGGTACTGATTTTCGGTGGTTTTTGGCTGTTTTTTCGTTGTTATCCAATATCCAGCCTTAAAAAGTAGTGGAATGTGGTCGTGACGTATAGAAGCCTCAGTGTATGTGATATGAGCACATTCCTGCCAGCGGTTTCAGAGGAGATGGGGAAGTTACGCGGTGGCGATTAGCAGAATTAGTATGATGAAAATTATAATAAACAGAGATGTGAAGATGCTAATCTAGGGCCTCGACAAACAACTGACAGGTTAGCCTCGGTGACTATATATACTGTAGGCCTATTGTATTTTTGTAATTTGCATAATTAATTCAGGGCATGAGTGTAACTAAACCAGGATACAAAAAGTGAAGCATCAAACTACAAACTTGATAATGGTCTTGTTTTTTCATCTTGTGCAGTTGTCAATCAATATGCATCTTACTTTCAAACTTTAAAGGTTGCACTGCGTCATATGCGCTGTTGTCTCGCGTCATTTAATATCCACGTAACCTCTACTATTTCACATTGAAAGATTCATTATACGGTTCCCGCCTTGAGTACTAAATATATCATGCTGTTATTCATCAGGAGATTAAGTGAAAGATGTAAAGCACAAGGGGAATATGTCTCTAAGAGGTCACAGCATCAAGCGATTATATCTGTTGTTATCTTACAAAACTTAACTCTTCAACACACACATGAATAATTAAGTTCCATGTTAGATATTTGGACTTGTTTGTTGTGCAAGTAGCCATGGTTTCTTTGCCTATTGACTGAGAGTCAGAACCACTAGACTAGGTACAAGACATCAATTTTTAACTTTCTGATGTTCTAATATACAGATCCCTTGATTTATTTCCAAGTGCTCACATTTACGCAACTGGACATACATTTTGAATGCACCATGCTTCATAATAATAAATTCTGCTTGCATCATTAAATCCCATAGAATCAATTACTTCTAAGGTTTGAGGATTCTATTAATCTTTAAACAATTTTAATAAAATTCTAAAGGAAAACTTTTTCCTAATAAATAACCTATCGATTTTTAAAGCATAATTCAGTAATTCTAATGTTATTAATAATCCTTTTTCTAATTTTTTAAGCTAGTATATCACTATCAACATTTTTAAGCTTTGGAATCTGTAAACAATTTTCAGATATACCATCTTTTAAAATACTAAAAATGGTTGGATGCCATTTTACATGTTAAATGTGGTATCTTGTATATTACTGTATGTACGTTTTTTTGTTGCCTCCATAAAAATGCACATTTTTGTTATGCATAACTTATCTTGTATTTTGTATATGTCTGTAAACTATCTTTATAATATTTTAGAGTGATGCATTTCGAAAAAAATGCCAAATAAGATATAGATTATTTTCTAAACATCTTTTTATCATGTGAATTATTTTTTTTGTTACATCATTCCTTCAAATTTCTTTTGGTCTAAAATCAATTCTGTTTTTAACATGCATATCGATAAAATTTTTCATTCACATGCACTTTACTGCAACTTCCATGTTTGTGTAATTTAAAATCAATTGTATTTTGTATTACTTCTCCATTTTTTGATTTCCGGAGATTGTTTTTTTAAAATATAATATTGGAATTGAAAATGTCAAGTATCTTCCAAGGTCCTACGGCACAATTCCTAGAACACACTATGTTATTATATAGCGTTTCCATTAACCTAAATTAAGAGACAACATACAGTACATACATACCTTCATGAATACACATCAATTTAATAAAAACATTCAGGAACTCTTTCTTACCTCCATGGAATATAACGCAGCTACGACATTGTCACTGGCTGCCTCATGCAGCATTGATGGCGTATTATGGTTCATCTGTGGAAATAAATTCTAATCATTAATTGTAAACATTTCAAGCCTAGGTAATTTATGTTTGTGCAGTCTTTCAATTGAAAATTAAAGCTTATTTTCCTTAGTGAGGCCTTGGATAGTGTAAGACACAATTTGAAAGTATGTAGCCTGAACTTCTGGTTGGGCTTGGAAAACAGGTTTGTTTTTATTCCATGCGAATCATTGATCTTAATTTAGAAATCAGAAAGCCATAAATACACAGTAAAAATAAGGATCTTTGCCAGAAAAAAATATTGTTTATTTTTATAATTTCTTTAATCTTTCAAAAGCAATTACAATATAAAAACAAATATATCAAATAGTTTTAATAGGAGAAAAAAATCACCTAGTAATTATGCATTATATTTAAGGCTAATATGTGGCACCTCTTATTTATAGTTTATTTTTTTAAACACTAATTGCAAATTTTAAATTTACGACGAGTGTCAATCACACTTTTGCACAGAAACTAATTTTAGCACGCTTAAGATGTAAAAAACATTAATTTAGAGTAACACAGACTTAATTTGATTTTGAATGAACAATTCCATCAATAAATCAACATGGTATCAAGAAAAAGGGCAGTCAAAACTGGAGCATGGAATGAATGGAAAATTAATTGCTCCAATTTGGCTAGTCATTCTTGTATTGAGGCAAAACACATGTACAGCATTCCCTACTGTAATTACATCTAAAAAGATGAGAAAACTGGTTAGAGATTTCCACAGCTTTCAGGGTGATAGAACTCAGTTCAAAGTACATTTATTTCACTTCTCTTTCTTGACAGTAATAATAAATTAGATACATGGCAAATTTCGAAAAGCAAGGCTTGTACACAGCGGTCAAAAAATAAAATATTTTAAATAAAAAAAACTTAAGTATTTAATTTGAAAATAGAAGAAAAAAATCGGATAATTTGCAACACATTTAAGAAAGACAAAAATCAGGTTAAGATAAATTTTACAATATAACATCACATATTTTTGTCTGAATAAAAAACATGACAACTTACAAGTACTTGAAAGTTGACTGTGAGTATTTTACTACCAGCGACTTCACGTGTCGGTAAGCTTTGCAGATAAAACCAACTTGCTAGACACTTGAAAACTCGGCCTAAAATTCTATGATCATTTTGGTAGGTTTCACTACATGCTGTCTGTGTAGTAAAACAAAATGAAATTACATGAAAATCTTAGTAATATTAATTTGCCTTATATTTCACTGTATGGGGTGAAAATAAAAGTATTGCCTATGGCAATATGACACAACATCTATGCTTTTAACAACTTTTGCAGGAGTTTAAACTAGGCCCCTCTAGAATGACAGATATATTAAAGAAAATGACAATCCAACCAATTAAGTACTGTACACTATCGGGAAAGTCAGCCTTTTTAATTTGAGAAGATATATAACATATAAATACATAACAGCACTAATCAGTATCTGTGTCCTATTTATCTTGACCCTCATTCATCCATCTATGAAAATGTTAACATCCTGAGCTCTCTAACAACAGGATTGTATGTGACATAGCACATGACCTTATTTAAAGGTAGCATGCAGCAAAACATATTAGTGCTGAATCACTCAACAATCAATCCACATAGGACAAAATACACCTTAGCTGAGTTTGCACTGGATTGCTTGCTCGGTCATACCAACCAAGTTATTGGCGTACAGTATCCAGGATGTTGAAAGGAGTGTTAGAGGGAGGGGGGTGCTAAAAACAAATATTAGATCCACTGAACTTTACGAGAGGTGCAAAACTAGGGATGGAGCATATTGATGGCTATGACCATAAAATGGTTGGTAATGTCCAAAGTCACTTACTTTACCATTTTATTTCAGTTAAATTACTATTATTTTTTACACATTTTAACAAAAAGGGGGTGGTCAGGCACCGTAAAAAACCCCAGGCCTGGTTACGCCACAGCAAATACACGGTTTGACAATAAATTCTATAACTGGGCAGGGCTTTAAAAGACTAATGATCAAATATAATCCACTGCGGAAAGCAGTCTTCTTCTTCTTGCGTGTGATGTAGCTAATAATCGCATATAATCATCAAGTTGCTGTTATTAATTGACTGGAACGGTCACAGCAGGGTCACTAACGAGCAGGTTAACAGCATGACTCCCCCCACCCCCCCATTTATACTCCTGGGTAAAGAGAGGCACATGTAAGTAAAGTGTCTTGTCCGAGGAAACAAGCAATGCGACGAGAGTCAGACTAACATCTTACACACTGTGCCACATGCTACTGTTGAAAGCAGTAAGGACTAACCAATAAATTGAGAACAGCTGGAGCAGACTCTGTAAGTTCTTGTGAGAATTCTTCACGTCGATTCTGCCCTAGACGTAGCGACCTACTATGGATCTCCTCTGGAAGGACTATTAAAATCTCCAGCAAGATTGGTACATGTGTCTGATTACTGCTAAATCTGTCATGACAAATGGAGAATTTAAAAAAATATTAATCATTATTATCAACATGTTTGTCCACTTATCAATCATGTCATCATTTATCATTGTTATCATTATCAAATTCCTTACTTTTGTGACCACACAAGTATAAAAAAAAAAAGGTTTTAGATACATTTTGTGAGATAATTAAAAAATCTTTTTATTTAATTATCTACTTATTTATTACTCATAAAGCATATGGAGGCTCTTATCATTGCATTATAATACATTTGTTAATATTATTATTATTATTACTGCACTTAGGAAACAACCAACATTATGTGAAAACAGATGGAAAACAAGTTATTCCTAAATTACGACCCACACAATATATGATCTTATAATTTATGAAAGCTTTTTAAACTATGGTACCGATACAGCAAATGACTTACTGTAGACAGCACTTATAATCTTAACAAGAAACTATCAATGAATATGATATTGTAATTATAAATTTGAATTAATATTGGTTAAAGTACTGATATTGATTGCGAGGTGAAAGCATTTTTAACTCTGAAATGTTAAGATGATACCCAGTGATACCACATTAAAAAATACGAGCAAAACACTTAACCTTTAACCTTTGTTAGTTTGAAAATGAAGTGCCTGTAATAAATCATATACTTCCAGAGGTTTAACCATGCAACAAAGTCAATTTTCTATTGACTAGAAAGATCACCAATGTTTGTAATACCTCTTACAAACTACTGTCTGTCGTGAAAAGTTAATTAATCTGATACACAATTAGAAAACAACAAATGGGAGGTCCTCTAGATTTTCTTTTAGCAACATATGGTATCTCATAGCTAAAGCATTCTAGAAAAGAATCAACTTATTTCTTTTTATGTCCCTCATTAGTTTTAACCAGTAGAAGTAGCAAAAAAAAAAAAAATAGAGGGAAAAAATTAATACAAACACAATTTTTAACAGGTAATGTACACATGGTTCGTTCTGAATAAAATGTGCACTTATTTTACTGGCAAAAAACATACACAGTCTGTCAATTTCTTTACCACAGGCAACAATGCAGCGATGTTTAACTTGAAACTGTCTCAAATTTCAGTAGTAAATGGGAAATTTTTTGTAGCATGATGATGTTACATTTTTCTGAACCCATTCTACAAATTACAAGTATAGTATGTATAATAACACCTATGAAATGTAGAAAGTCAAAAAAACGATTAATATCAATTTACCTTTTTTTTTTGAAGTTTAAAAATAATCTAATCAAATGTGTGTCAAGTCCTTTTGGAAAACTCATTGTGTCTGACTGGTGGATGGGGGAGGGTTTCCCAATAAAGGGGGAGGAGGAGGGGCTTTTCTCCCCAATTAAAGGTCAAAGAGTGAGTGCGCTATACTGTAAACGGTTGTGTGAATGATGTATTATATAGCACTTTCTACAGTTTTGTATGCCTTGTTACGTTAGACTTGTTCCGTGTGCTGCCTATTTGTAACCGGACTATACCGTGTAACCGGACTATACCGAAAATTTATAAGAAAATAATTTTCATTTTAAATTAACACAGTATATACACTTGTGTTAAAACCTTCCATATATTTGCAGTGACTGAAGTAAACAACACGCAGTATGTCAACTATGCATATGAGAGAGGGTAGAGGTACTGGTTTCAGCAGTTGGGTGGGTTTAGGCATTCAACCTTGAGATTAGGTGTCCTAATACAGGTCTCACTCTTATTAAAGACCCCTCCAATTAAAGACCACTTTTCTGTGGTCCCAAATTAACAAATTTATTATTCTAGAGACCGAAGCGGCTAAAGACCATGGAAACCCCGGTCACAAAAGTGGTCTGTAATTGGAGGGAGACCTGTACATACTGTTTATTTCATTTCTACACGGCGCTTCTTCCAATCAAATATTCAGTATAAAGTCAGTACAGGGTTCAACAGGATTACAACATTATGAAATATGCTCTTTAAAGAGCTAAGAGTGAGAATATGTTCTACAGGCTTTTATTATAAAAATAGGATAATATTGAGAAGTACATCGAACAAAATTGGTTATTTTAAAGCTTCTTAGTAAAATATTTTGCCATATAAAATTTGTGACCCGAAAAGAATAATCGAAAATGCATTAAGTAGTCACCAAGCTTAATTCAAATGATAAATAATAAGGTTTGATGAATACTAAGTTGGACTTTCAGATGAGAATTAATGGTTGGTATTAAGAATCATTCATCATTCCATTGATGTAATTCCAAATGACGTTATTTCTATATTATAAATCATGATCAAATATTTAGAAACTATAAAAAAAAAAGGTCTTTTCCTTCCATATATTATAGTTATTTTAAAAAATTCAACTATATGAAATTAGTGGCATATCATGGGCCTTTCTATGTAATAAAAAAAAAAATATTATTAGTATTCCAACAGTGGCAGTGCCAACCGAGGGTCCAGGGGGAAGAGGACCCTATTGGGAAACCCTGGGCCCACCATTGGGGAAAGCCAATTATTTCGCCAAGGAACACTGCTTTAAAAAAAATGCTTGCAGTGTAAAAGTGTTATTTCCTGGCATCTATTCTTAAAATTTGATCTAAACAGGTTAGTGCTAAGGTGAATTTAGACCTTTGTCAGAGAAGTTTGGCCTCTCATTGGGACCCTTGGACATGGTGGGCTTATGGGAATGTGGGCGAAGGTTGAGTAGAAGGGGATTGATGGCAACTGAGGGAGCATTAGCTCTGCATAAATAGACTTTAGAGTGGCTAGCAATACTTCACCACAACTCACTTTTGAATTAAAAAACTTGCTGAATTACGCCACTGGGGCATCTGAAGTGCAAGATCAGCGAGGGCAAGACACAGCTGGGTCATGATAACTTGAAAGTTGGGATCACTGAGTACCTCGATATGGTTAATAAGTGAATTCCGTAGAGATTCGTGCGATTCAACTGGAAGCTCATGGAAAGAGTATTGGATCTGAAAAAATAAGAAGAAAAACTATGTAATCATTAATGTATTATTATATCAATAAAGCAACATTGATGCAAACTACACTTACATATACCTTGGGACATGAACTAGATTTTTGGAAGATTCTATTATTTATCAAGGTAAATAATTGACAAAAAGGAATATACTGTAAAAAACATACTATTTATCTACTGTATCTCAATATTTGTAATAACTAGTTGTCTATGCATGAAAAACATAAGTATCATACAAAATATACTAAACTTCAATGAACTTGATTATATTGCAAAATATACAGTACCTGTGGAACGATTAGATAGCACAAATATAAATAAGTGTGATTTGCAATTTTTTATTATATTCCTAAAAGAATGTTTGATAATTACATGTACAATATCTTAGTGATTTGAGAGATAAAATGATAATGAATAAGGTGTAAAATTAGTGATAGTGAAAAATGATGGTCTAAATCCATGTCTTGTACATTAAATATTTGGAAGGATATCAGGGGAGAGATTCAGGGATAATTCCATCTTGCTTGATGCTTTAGAATATTGGATGAATACCCAATCAACAAATATAATGAAGATGTAGATCAACACAGTTCATACTTTACATCAACATTAATTCCATAAGGATTTAAACATTGTGACAAACAAACATGATTATGGAAAGCAATTCCAAGATTAAACACTTCATTTTACATAATCATGAATGCATAAATACATACACAACAGTCTAATGTACAGTAGCTGGGGGAAGATCGTTCATAGCATTATGTTTATCTGCAAGCGTTTTATATGAGGAATATGATTCTTCAATAACGAGAAGCAGTTTAAACCAAATATATAAAAACCTATTCTTGCAAAATACTTTTAAATTTAAAACTCAGTACATTATAAATGGTTAATATTATGAATCGAAGTGTATGAATAGGCTTATTGTTATTATTGGGAACAGAAAACATCAATAAATAAGGTAAACACTGCAGTTCTGCAACAATGCAGTTCTGTACACAGTGTAATACCACAGTACTAGTTAAAATTATCTGTGTAAAAATAATAATAAATTGTACCTTAGTACGCATGGTCTGTGCTGCAATATAACACGATTCCACATCTTGTTTTCGTTGGAGTAATTCATCAGAGATTTGCCATGCATAAATCTGTTAAAATGAACGTGAAAAATAAAAGAAGTTTTCTAACATCATATGATATTATTAATTGGAATTCAAGTGTGTAGCATTAAATCATTGTGAAGTTGTTTGCGTCGTACTGTTTCTCTCAAAGAAATAATGATACAATACAAATACCATGGGTCAGAGTATGAGGTACTATACAGATCTGCCATGTATAATTTTTTGGTTTTTTATACACACAGAACTGAAAAATTAACATTATATTGTAAATTTTAATCATAACAGTTTCATCCAAAAGTCAGATTATCAATTTACGGCATAAATTAATGTTGCTTTGTGTTTGTTTAAAGATTTTTGTATGTCGGGTGTACTTTAAGACAATTCCCCTGTTTCACCGTCAGAAATCCTACTTTTTGCTGCTTTTATGGTCTTGATATGCATCCAGCTGGCTAAAAACCGAGCCAAATGTAGGGTTTAACATTCCAAATACTGTAGTTAGTAGCATCATTTCAGTAGTAAATTTGTGTGTTACTGATGATTCGCACATAGGACAAACATGATTTAAAAATACAAAAATTGTATGTGTTGTGCATAGAAGACTCTCCTGTTTTTCAATCGTAATTTGCTATTTTAAGCCTCGTCCTATACACGAGAATATACTGTACGGTAACTGTATCTACCTTTATTATTACTATTACTATATCAACAACTGAAAATGTTCAGAACAAATTGACAATGGTAGAGTACTACTGCTATTTTTAGACAGCAGAAAATGTAAATAGTAATATTGCATTACAATCAACTGATCTTGAACAGACATAAAAACATATATGGTCTGGCACTCAATTTGAGACACCTGCAAATGGATTTGTTGAATAAAAGTTTTATGGCTAATTAACCTTTTAAGTCGAGACTGAAAATACTTCATATATAATGGCAGATACTGTAAATTAATAATGACTGCTCTGTAATAAATATGTTATCTGAATTCCATCTTTTAAAAATGTCTTCTTGATTTACTTCTATGACACTTTTATTACATGAATATATTAAGATGTTGCTACAGAAAACAAGAAATCATTAACATTTATGGAAAAAAAAATACAAATTCAATATCTTTGTCATGTATTAATACACAGGCCTAGATGAAATAAAAACACTGTAGAAGAAAATATGATCAACTTCATCATGTTGTTCTTGGCTAATTTTATTAGATGAATAAAAATTATTTTTCAATATTTTTATATATTATTACTGTAGATCAACTGTTAATTATAAAATTTGTAAAATGTGAGCTAATCTATGGCAATAGATTCAGAAATTAAGATGTTGTTTTCTAAGTTGGTCGAGTTCTCTGTAGTGAGACTGACAGCAAATCCATCCTTTATCATAATATAAAATGGTGCAAATGGTCTACTACAGAATGCAAAAAAAATTAGAAAATCTTGCCCATGGGCAGTTCTGAACTGAGTTTGTCATGCATACAGTAGTACAAAACGTGCTGTTCGTGAAAGCCCATGGAATCATAATTACCATGGATTTACAGCCTTTATAGTTTTTCCCAAATCCAATGACTAGCGGGCCAACTTCGGCATGCCAAAGATTTTGAATCTAGCCCCCACAACATTGCTAAAAATAAATCATTTTACCATCTGATTTTTAGAAAAAGTTTTTCTGTTTATAGAAACACCACCTAGGCACCCCTATTCTAGCATTGTTTGCAAGAGTGTGCCCTTTTCTGAGTGTAGTTTACTGTATCTACAGTAGTAGCGTAGGGTATTGACATGGAGAAAAAGGACACTAATGGGGACAATGGATTAAATGGGGTGCTCAGGGGCAGATTTAGAGGGGGAGAAGCCAGCTG